CTTCCTAAGGGTCCAGGCGGGTGGAGAATTAAGCGGTGGGGCTAGTTGATACCGGGAGGGGGCGGTGGAGGATCTTCCCATTGTCGTCGGAGGGGAGAAGCCAGATTCTCGGGAGAAGGAATCAGCACGGCGTGACTCTGCCGCGAACCTCTTTGGAGGTCTCCTGGTGAGGACTGCGTTACAACTTCAAGGGGGGGGGGGGAAATGCAGGGCTGTGGCCTTTGACAGGGCTGCCCCCTTGGAGCAGAGGATCGACCCGAGAGTCTTTTCGGCGTCCGTCCGTTAGAGGAGAGGACACCAGGAGAGGCCACGCGTTTCTTTGAAGTGCTTTATGTCCGCCCGCAGCATGTCCTCCGTGTAGCAAGTCGCATCCCCTCTGTCGTGCACGACCTGGTCGATCATCCTCATCAGTTCGGCCACCTGAGCCTTCCGTTCTTCTTCTTCGGCCTTGTTGTCGAAGGCCAGGTAGCGGTTCTCACAATAGGCCACCAGTTCCTGAAGCGAGACATCTCCCTGGGCAATGGATTCCTCCAGAGTCGTGTATTCCAGGCGATCCTTGCAGGCGAACACAACGATCATATAATTCTTGCCTTTGTGACTGAACATCTCTTGGATCAGCCGATTCTCGTCCTTCTCCCCCTGGGTGAAACGGCCAGGACGCAGGACCCACAGAATGGCGTGGGGACCTGGGTGGCAGCACTTGATCGATTTGTTCACTTCTTCCACAGCTTGACACACCGGGGCCCGGGTGTTGAAAACGCCCGGCGTATTGACCACCATAACCTTCCTGTTGTTCCACAGTACCTCCTTTTGCCAAGTCGTCGTCGTTGAACTAGACGTAAAGACTTTGCGCCCCAGGATGGTGTTTCCCGTCGCTCTTTTCCCGCTTCCGGCTTTGCCCACCAGGACGATCTTCTGATGAGGCCCTGCGACCCAAACGGGAGAGATGAAGGGGACCCGGTCAGCAGCGTACGGCCATCGCACCCTGTTCCCGTCACCCAGGACAGTCGCCCCCCCCACCCCATCCCGCCCCCCCGCCCCGGGCCCAAGACTTTACCTGCGTTGTTTTCAGCCATTTCCAGACAAGTCGCACAGCACAGATCTCGGGGTTGCGGCGTGACAGGCGAAACGGGATCAGCCGAAGGAGAGGCTGCCTCCCTCGGAGGTTCCCCCCTAGAAGACACAGGCGGGAATTGGAGGGGCCCCCAAAGAGAGTCAACTCCTCCTCACTGCCCTTGGGGTAGAGTCATCCTGTTCCTGAACCAGCTGGTGGACGTAGGAGACCGATACGTCAGGGAGTTCGTACCCCTTCCTGGACCATCTTCCTTGACCCCCTTCCCGGACCCCCTTTCTGGACCCCCTCCTCCCAGACCCCCTTCATGGAGTCTTTTCCTGGACCCTCTTCCTGGATCCCTTTCCTTGACCCCCTTCCTGGACCCGTGATGTATTGAGGTTAATTACTTGCAAACTGTTGGATACGGTCACATGGCTGCACCTGTTTCAGCTCCAGACTGACGGTCTTCCTTAAATACTGCTTTAATTCTATTGGCTGCCACCTAGTGGTGAGCGGTATGAATCGCGGTTGAGCCGCAGTTTGGGCTGCTTCGGTTGTGCACTGGATGAAGAGTTGTTGTTTGCACCATTCGCCTCGTCAATACCTCACCGAACTAGAAACATAACAACCTCCTTCCTGCACTCTCTTCCTGGACCCCCTTTCCTGGATCCCTTTTTTGGACCCTCTTCCTGGACCCCCTTCCTTGACCCCTTTCCTGGACCTCTTTCCTGGACCCCCTTCCTGGACCCCTTTCCTGCATCCCCTCCTTGCATCCCCTCCCTGGATCCCCTTCCTGGA